GACGATGACGATGACGATGACGATGATGATGATGATGATGATGATGATGGTGATGATGGTGGCGGTGATGACGGGGACGATGACGACGACGATGATGATGATGTTGATGATGGTGACGGTGATGACGACGATGACGATGATGATGATGATGATGATGGTGATGATGGTGGCGGTGATGACGGGGACGATGACGACGACGACGATGATGATGATGATGTTGAGGATGGTGACGGTGATGACGACGATGACGATGATCATGATGGTGATGATGGTGGCGGTGATGACGACGATGACGATGACGATGGTGATGATGATGATGATGGTGATGATGGTGGCGGTGATGACGGGGACGATGACGACGACGACGATGATGATGATGATGGTGATGATGGTGACGGTGATGACGACGATGACGATGATGATGATGATGATGGTGATGATGGTGGCGGTGATGACGACGATGACGATTATGATGGTCATGATGGTGGGATCTTCTCTCCAATATTTTGCTGACCCCCGTTTTTTCTTGCCAATGTAGAAACTCTTTGGCCAAGTCTCCAGGATGTGGAAGCTCTTTTTGGCAGCTCCCCGTGCAGGGATGCCCAGGCCCCCGCGCAAAGTTCGCGGGAGGACTTGGAGATGCTGCGGCAAGTGGCTTGGGAGGCAGAAAACCGGGCGCGGCAGCAGGACCCTTGGGATAGAGATGGTTGTGTCTTAAAATGAACACATCATGATGATCAACAGTCCAATTTTTGGGGTACCTTATTTTCAAACAAACCCACATGGCGGGAAGATATCAGAGCGTTTTCAGGCTGTGAGAAGTTGGAGCAGTGGGTGCGTGAGCTGTTCCAGTTGGACGGACCATGGGCCCATGAAATTTGTGAGACACGCTGGTGAACATATTTACCACCTCAGTGGTTCACATCTCCAAAGCGACAGAGAGACAAAGCAGTGGTGGGTTTTGAGATTTGAATTGGTTTCTCAATTCGATGGAATCCGCAGCAGTTGAGACAACTTTGATGAATATCCCCATGATTTTTCTTTGCCCCACTGGAGGCTAACCAATGGAAGTGTGTCATTTTTGTTAGTTGAACTTGGGTTGAATAACCTTTTCCCAACTAATACCAGATAACACCATTTTTTTTGCATGGCTAAAACATGCCGAACCCACCAGGAGGCCGCCATACAGGCGGAGCGCGACGAGGTCAGGGCGGAACTGGAGGAGTTACGCGAACAGGTGCAGCAATGCCAAGAGCTGCGGGAGGAGAATGCGGAGTTGCGTCAGATGCTGGGGAAACTCTGGCTATGCACAGAAGTTTTTCGATTTGAAAAATGGGGTCACTGGAGATAGCCCGCAAATTGATGGCAATGTACATATGACTTAAAAAGATTTTACCACTGAAAGGGATATAATTATAGTGCTTTTTGACAGAGGTTTTGGACATGTATAAATACTTTTTAAGAACCATACAATGTTCCCCACTTTGTTTTTGTTTGGAGGAACGGATGATTTGATTTCGGTCTGTACGAAATTGTTTAAAACTTGGGAAACCCATTCCATCCAATGCTGAATGATAATTTTCGCAATTTGTCCATGTCAATTTTGAAGTGCATCGCCCATTTTGGGACGATTTTTTTTTCCTATTCTCCCTGTGAAACATCCTCATTTCTGGCATTTTCTTATTTTTATTTGGCACCTTTAAAGCAAAAGGAAACTTCACTCAGAGCTTCTCCTGCAAACTGAGCAGCAAGAACTGAAATCCGGGCAGCTGCAAGCCAGCCGCCTGGCCGGCAGCGAAGTGGCAGAGAGGCTGCTGGAGTTCGTTGGCCGCTCCAGCGCCAGCCGCCTGGAGGAGGTGAGACAGTGCTTCCTGCGGTGGCACCTTCGAACAGCGAAGCACTCGGCGCAAATTGCGGAGAGGGCCAGGCTTCGCATGGAACACATGGGTCGGATGGAGAAACTGATGAATCGACGTTCTCCGGGTTGCGCTGAAAGCTTCAGGGCTTGGGCCCAGTACAAAGATGAGAAGAAACATCGATCCAGTGGCCTGGTCACCAGTAATTCAAGAATTCAGGTCTTCAGATATTTTTCAGCCTGGAGAGGTTTGTGCATCTCAATGTCATATTTGCAGCAGTTGAGATGGTGTGAGCCGTCATCTGTTTGCACTCCCGAATTCGCCTCGGCCGTTTGGCAAGAGTTGAGTTCCCCTCGGGTGTATCGATCTTTTCTGCTGCCGCAGGAGGGGTCAAACTTCCACCTCAATGTCCCCCACACAGGTTGACGTTGACAGTCAAACATGTTGAAAAAGGTCGGACTGACCGCATGCTTGACACTCAGGTTGCCGAATTGGGACTTCCCCAGTCAGTTTTTTGTCCGTGAACCCCTTCGTTTTTGGATAGCTTCCGTGATGAACGACGATCTGAAGCAACATCAATCCGACTCGCAGTTGAACATGTTTTTTTTTCCCCCCATAGCTCAACATAGAATGAAACCGAATCTCTTCTTCAACGTACTTTCAATCCATTTCCAATTGACTGTCCTATGCTCTGCCAGTGGCTCATCAGCGGCTGCTGGGAGTCAAGGAAGGATGAGGCCCGGCTGGAAGATGGGTGGCCCTGTACTTAGGAATATGGGGGATACGAAGAAATTGCATTACTGTGGGTTAAACAATCATAAACCATCCCCCAAATCACCATTTTTATAGGTGGTATGGTTACCATTCCCAAATTGGTGGTTTATGACATTGTTTTACCCACATTGAATTCAATTGCTATCTTAGGTCCTATGCTATCTTAATAGAACATATGGTGATAAGCTGTTGTCAGACAAACCCAAGTGAGCCTGCGCAAGTTTTGAAGGCCTCTGAGAAGGTTTTGAAGTTGCAAATGGGTTCTTGAAATTTCTTCAGTGGGTCTATGGATAGGGTTTGGACCCCAATCACTTCGTGATAAACTGCAAAAGGGAACTGGATCTTTTCGTTTGGCTGGATTGGAAAGCTTTTTGGGGTGCCCTCCGGTAATCAAACATGGCCAACATGGCTGGCTGTCAATCCAAAGTTTTTCTTCGATGACTCTCCCATCAAAAACAATCATTTAGTTCGGGGCTTTCCCAACTAGCCATCTTTGATGATCCAAGGATACCATTCTTTTTGGTAACTTCCCTGCAATATATCCCTGAAGTCATCTGAGGAGGTGGACAACGTCATCTCAGCCCAGCTAAAGGAGATTGTCATCAAAGACATGGGGATCAGCCCCCAGCGGGGCACTGATGGCATGCAGCTCTGTCGCTACCAGGCTCGGGCGGGAGAAGTGACGTTTTTTTTCGGGAACACGTTTTGGAGCTGGAAAAAGCCATGAAGTAATGAAGTACTGCTCTGGTTGTTGGGTGGTTTTCCAATCATCAGAGTTTCTCTCCTCTTTTGGGAAGATCAATGGGGAAAAACATCTATCAATGGTGGATTTTCCGCTGCCATTATTGGAGGGTACTTCTTTGAGCAAGTCGCCAGGTGCAAGCCATTCTGGAGAATCCCGTGGTTCAGGCGTTGGGAACATCATGGCGCCGGGATCACAGGGATCGCACGGCTAAACCATATGGGCAGCCATGGAAACCATAGATGAAATTGATGAAATACACATTTCCAGATTTCCAGCACCAAACAATCCCAGGGATCCCTGGTTTTAACATACAACCCATGCCCAATTGGCTTCCAAATATGACCAGCACATACCAGCACCCTGCTCCCAACCCCAGCCAGCCAAACTGTGGCAGGCCACGTTGACCACAAATCTGGTTCTGGCTTTGTTCCTTCCAGATTTTTGGGTCATTCTGGTCCCTTGGCTGCACTTGTACGCCTAGTTTGGAAGGGACCAACCCCCTGAGACAAAAATGGAAGTTGAACGTGAGATGGGAATGGACGTTGAAACCTTAAAAACACCTCCACGCTTCCTTGGGGCACTGCACGCTGCAAACTGGGGATGCACATTTTGGTCACTGTGATCCAAGATCAACTGTGGCAGATCTTGGGGTTTAGGTTGCGTTTCGCGCACTTGCCTGAAACAGAGGGAGTTCGGGAGTTGACTTGTGATTGACTGGATCAAGATGTGGATTTTTCAGCAACAAGTGTTCTACTACCCATGTGACCTGGCATCAGCTCCCATTCCATGCCCCCTATGGATTGACGTTTATATTATGACATAGCATATTTACTGATGCAGATGCTGACTTTTTGATTTATTCATTGATCTATTTTTCAGGTTCAGTATATGTAATATATATATATACAGGCTATACTATAGGATTATTGTATATAACATACATCACATCTCCATTTCTTTCTTTTCCATTTGCCAATCGCCAAGGCCATGCAGGGTGACGGCGGCTTGGACAATGCTCTGGTGATGATCTTGGTGATTTTTGCTGGAGCCCTGTTCGGGGGGGGTTCCATGGGAAGAATTCATGGCAACAATAAACACAGATTGGTTGCTATGGTTGTGTTTTTGGCAGTTGATTTTCGGTCGATTTTCTTCATTTGTTGGTGTTGATGCTACTGCTACTTCGTGAAACCGTTGTTGCTGCTGAACACCATCAGAGATCCTTCTTTTCTGCACTGCAGCCCTAAAGTTTGGTGAAGCCAAAAATCACAGGACTCCCAAGGACTCCCAAGGACTCCCAAGATGGTTTTCCTCCGTCCAAGGTCTTGGAGTTCATAGCCAATGTCGTGGCTCATGGAGATCGATACGTCAACAAGTGCCCCGGGGATCCCCGGTTCTCCCGGTGGGCTCTCCATGGCTTTACCATGGCTTTCCCAGCCGCTCCAGGTATCCTTTCTGGACGGACATTGTGGGGATACTTTCGGTGCCCTGGGACCACTCCCTGGTGGCGGACAACTTTGTGGACATCTTTGAGGATCGGGGGTGGAGCAGATGAATCTTAGGACATCTTCCAAATTTCATACGAAAGAAGTCTTAGCCCACGACCACACACGATTTATATGTAATTTATGTATCAGTATCTACGGCACAAATTAGGTGTATGATCGTGTAACATTCTGTAAATATACACATCGTGTAACATACACAAAGATTGTGCACGTTTCCTACCCATGGGCCCATCAGTGATAAGCCAGGGCTCGGGCCTGGCACGGGTGACCAAGTTCGCGAAGCTGAGCGCACGCGCGGTGAGACTTTCCAGGCGCAACGTGTTTTTTTAACCCAACAATAAGCATCAATAAGCCATCTCCAAAATCATGGTACAAACATGTATAAACCATCCCCAAATGGTAGGTTATCATTGGCTTTCCGACATTCAATATATTTCTATAAGGTGTTTTTCATGTTTCTTTTCAATGGAGAGATTTCTATGGGGATTATATAAAAGAATTGACATTCTCTTGGGGGAGTGGTTGTTTGACTTGTTGACCCATTGAGCAAAGAGTTGGGAGAGTTGATCAGCGAACTTCTGCTTTTGTGAGGATTGTTGGTGAGCGTTTAGCGTTCTCAAAAACCAAACGGTGGTATTTCATATTTCACCAATCAACAATTCATGGGAAGACTACCAAGATATTCGGTCTGTGTTGCAATCTCTGTAAATTTACGTTTTTCCTGATCATACATCCCCATTTTGGTTGGCTAATCTATATAGGTGGCATGATGATTTCCCCCGGCCACCCCAAGCCGGCCAGGTTGGGGAAGCTGCTGCGCTTCTTTCCTGGCTCGGGAAAGGAGGGCGAAGGAGAAGTTAGTCTGCGCCGTGCCTAGTTGATGGAAGGAACATGGACCATTGATGCCTCAACTGAGCCTCAACTGGTTTCCCTGCTAAATCTATGCTGAAATCCAGACCATGAGGATTTGAGTTTTTTTTTGATTTTCAGAGATCTGATCAAATGTCCCTGTTTCGAGGTCCTTGGATTGTTGTTTGCGAGCTGAGCCGCAAAAGCATCCAATATGTGAGTTGGCTTTTGTTTTTGTTTGTTTTTAGTGCTGCTCCAGTCTTTCTGTGGAGGAGCCAATGGTGGACGGGGTCCGGCCAAAGGCATTTCGGCAGCCAGCGGCTCAGTGGATGAAAGCCCAGGGGTAGGACATTCTCGTCAATGCATCATCTTCTTCGTGCTTCATACTTAAGGGAGCCCGAACTCAATAAAGTCCACCTGAGTTTGTCTGAAAATCAACACACTCACCTATCAATGGGATCCAAGTTGTGAGCTGCTGACCCTTCTGAATGCTCGGCAGGAGCTCATGTCGAACTTGTCCGTGAAGGCCGGATGAGGGCGATGGTGAACTGTCCCATTTCACCCAAGCATTGGGGATGCAATCTCCACCAACTCTCTCTTTTGGTGATGTGCAAAATCTCTAGAGCTGGACATTAAAAGCCCTGGTTATTGTGTACTTGAACCAACCAGAAGGGATTTGCATGATGGACAGCAATCATGTATGTATGTAAATAATGTAAATGTAAATGTAAACGTAAACGTAAATGCTATTCTTAATATTAATGTAATGCAATGCAATGCAATGTAATATATATATATATTTACCTATTATATATATATATATATATATTGTCTATATATACACATGTATGCATACATACATATCAATTGAGGGCTACTTGTGATTGACCCTGAATTCGAAGTGTCGGGGGCTGGAAACCTCAAGCCATTTGTAATTCCAAACTGATTGGGGGTTTACCGACACGAAGGAACCATACTCCCGGCCACTGGGTAACCCCTCCAAAAGTGGAGTATCAACCGGTGGATTCACCCGAGGCTTTTCAGTGACACCATCATTTTCATTGGATATACCGATAAATAACCGGTGTGGTGAGTGTGAAATACCATTTCCATTGTTGCGGGTAAATGTTCTTTATTCTGGTTCAAGTACATTGAATCCTCATCACCATTTGACAAAAATATACTGGATCCCTATTTTGATTGTCACATTACCCTATCTATTGTAGTGGTCGGTGTGAAAACATGCTTGTTTTCCATCCAGTAAATTCGCATCACAATGACGATCCCGATCGGTTCTACTTTTTCATTATCTAACAAGTGGCTCGTCACCGTCTAGAAAATATACTATATATATAAATCATATAAACATCTTTTCAAGCGGCCAGAATGATAGCTTTGAATCCCCAGGTGGCTCTGCTGATTATCGTCCTGGTTTTGATTCTGCCTGTGATGGACTTCTTTACCTGGCCTCCGTTTGGGCCTCAGACCATGAGGCGGTCGAGTGGTGGAAAATTGGGAATCCCAAAATTCCAAAAACCATCCCATTTTAATTTTGGGGCGTACTTTTGATCCCCCATGAAGTTTTTTCGGGATGTGGGGTGATCCAAAAAAAAATGAGAACTATCTTTGGGTTCACAAGTCAAACTAAGTCAACAAGACATGAGATGCACCTGCAATCATGTGCAATCATGAGTCAGTGTCCCATTTGCTGGGAGTTCAAGCAGTGCCGTACTGCAAAGCCGCCCAGGGATGACTTTTCCTTGGATACCTGGACAACACACATCCATTGGATGGCAAAGTACCTTATCTGAATTCCTGCCTTTGGGCTTGATGTTTTCCCTTCTGGCTTAGTTTGCTCTGGCAGATGGGGATGGGTGCTTCTGGGAGAGAAGGATGCCTCAAAGAGACTACAGAAGACTATGGAAGATAAAAGTGGGGTATACAGTATACAATATCATAATATCAGTACATCCGAATGTCTTTAAGTGCAAAGGTGTCTCACCATTTCTCACCGTTCGATCACAGGGTCCCATCGTACCGTAGCCAGGACCTATCCGGAGGATGTTTCTCAGGTGGTGGAGGACATGAGGCGCTTCTATGACGTTCGAAACTCAGGAAGAACCGAAGACATCAGGGGGATCTAACTTGATCTAACCATTCGAATGGTTTCTAACCAGCAAAAATGGGGATAAAAACCATTCGAATTCACTGAATTCACTTCTATGGTTCCTGTTTGGATGGTGGTTGCGGAATGGAATATTTTTTGTTTTGCATCCTAACCCGAATGATGATCCCAGTTGACTTGTAGTTTTCAGATGAGCTGAAGCCACCAACCATTTGTTGTCAGCAGCCTGAAAGCCGTTTGATGCCGAAGGGTATTTGAACTTCCTTGGAAAGTCAATTTGCACATCGGTGAAATGGGTAGCTTCAACATTACTTCTCCTTGTTGGAGATGATACCCGGAATGGTTGGGCGATGTGGAAGATTCACGGAATACCTTCCCGTTTTTTGTTTCTTTGTCAGACATATCAACATTTGTTTCACAAGCGCACTTTGCTACACCAGAAATGCTGAGGTCTACAGCTATTTTCCATTCCAAGTCATCTACCATTTCACCAACAACACCCAGGTGATTCAGGCGGGATACAGGATGGTCCAGAGAGGTTCAGGGCCATGAAAAGGTGTAAAACAGGAGGAAAGGCCACACCAAATTGCAGTAGTGATAATAGTATATATATATAATAGGAGTAGGAATGATCATGCTAGTAGTGATTATTATAGTATATGCCCTAGTAAGCAAAGTAGTGTTGTTTACCTAGTTGATGCGTGCCGATTCACCATCAAACACAATTGGGATATTGTACGGAACGCGGCAGGAACTGCAGAATGCTCGTGCCTTGCGCTCAGACTGAGGTCTAGGGAACCAAGGTGTTGATCCATAGGCAGGTCATTATAAAGCCACGGCAGATCTTGGAACAGAGTGGTTTTCCCATTTTGATGGCTTAAATTCACCAACAAGATTTCTCAAAAACTGGGGAAAAACGCAGCTCAAGATGGAGGTATTGGCCATGAATTTGGACATTACCTCATACCATGAGAATATCAACTAGAAAAAAATACTAGAGTAATAATGGACTGATCCAGATGTTGGTTCGCTTGTAACTAAAAAAAACCCTCTCCTGAGGCTCCGATGAGGCTTGAAGATGTTTTGGTCATCGCCAAAGAGGACACCACCGTGAAGTTCAACTTCAGGCGCCTGGTGGAAACCTCGAAAACTGGGAGGGTGCAGCCAGCTCGAACCTGCTGAGGGCTCCGAAGCTCACAGAAGCCATTCTGAATGAAGCTTGGATGCAACAATTGTGGGCCTTTCTCGCTGTCACAGACAACGGCATGACAGTCTCAAGATAGCCAGGGATCTCGGGCACGTTTCTTCACGGATCATCCCCGTAAGGTCTTCGTGATGATCGGAGTTATCTTCACAATGTTGGTGTTGGCCCCAGCACGGAAGACACTTAGCGGTCAAGGTCCAAAAGTGATATGGGCCGACAAACTAGAGGTTGAGGCGCGAAAAAATTGGCAGGATGGGTTCCAAACCAGTCACCAGTCAGTACCAAAATTAAAATAAGCATTTGAGAAACTCGCCATCCAGTATTTTGTTGCTTTGTGGCACCAGAAATTGCGAGTTGTCCCCCCAGGATATTAGTCCTTTTCACCTGCATATATCGGAAATCAAGGCTATATGGCCATAGGGTCCATGAAGCTACCAGCTTTGTCAAGTTTTGGCCGTTTTCCAGGCTTGCTCCAAGCTCTTCTGGGTCATAGCCAAAATGGAGAGATGGGTCATTTTTTGCGTCCCAATTTTCCCAGTTTCCCCTTCTACCTGGGTTGGGAGCAGCCATGTGTTTTGACCTCCATCCAGGTTGCGGCTGCTTGTGTCTCATCAGCGGTGTCACATACCGTCTTCTGGCTGGAACAGTGGAAGCGCCAAAAAGAACGTCGGAAAGATGGTCGGATCAGCAGTGGTGATCCGTTGGTTTAGGGTAGCTCAGTTTTCGCGCATCTCCAAAGATCAAAATTCGTGGATTTCAAGCGGGAAAATGAAGCAGCATACAGCTGGTGAGCCAACGGTTGCCGGCATCTCCAAGACCTCCAGCTTAGGTATTATCGCCCATGGAAGACTTGTTGGAAATCGTGAGACGCCTCAGAGACGATATGCTGCGATTTGCTGGCCTGAGTGTTTTGTGCAAAGATCCAAATTATCTGACATAATGTCACTAATGGACAATGCCGAATGAAGAGTGACGCAAAATGAACCAAAGAACATGGATAATAACAGATGATCACTTTTATGATCAATTGAATCAATGACAATTTGACCATGGTTGGATCCCTTGAGGTGCACTCGACGGCCATCCAGATCTTCGATTCCGTCGAGCAGATGGCCATTTATTTCGTGAAGGACTACAGTAACCAGCAGTGGCGCCAAGAGATCGGATTGGAGGCCAAGGCCATTGGGAATTGCTGGGAATGGATGGGAATGGATGGGAATGGATGGGGAGTTGGATGTATCAATCGATATATATTTCCGTCCTCGGTTACACTAATATATGTTATAGTGTAGAAACAGATGTATGAACATAATATTAGTGAGAAAAACTACTCATGAAGATCATTCATGATTGTAAAGATAGATTAATTCATGAATATTATTGTAGATATAGACTTAATCAATATGACATAATATGACTTATGAACACACGAGAACATCCAAATGAAAACATATCATTTTCCACCGGGGAAACTTCTGCCAGGATGACCACAGGAGTCGTTTCTCCCGTGAAGTAGAGCTTTTGGCCAAGGTGGGGAGTTTGCAGTTGGAGTCCAGTTTTGGTGCCCAGAAATATCCCAAAAACAGGGTCAAAAGGAGCCACTTTGACCTTTAAAACTATAACTATATATATTTAACTATTTATAACTACTATAACTTGCAGTTGATGGTGTCTGAGGCAAGTCACCAGGCGGCTGAAACAGTGCTTTATGGAGTCCCCCTAGATTGATAAAAGCACCAGAATGGCATGAAGGGAACCGTTCAGCCTTAAGATTGGAGGGTGGCAACTGGTTGCCACTTGGCTTGCTCCTTCGGGCATTGCAGAAAATGTTAGTGAGACATCGATACGTCTCCCGACACCTAGGTTGCTAAAGACCAGAATTATTGGGCCATGCTGGGCCCATATCCCAAGTTCCTGGAGTAAACTCACCAGGGCATTCTACCCATAAAACCCATCCCAACCGCCTCAGGTTTTAGAGAAGCTGGATCTGCTGACCATCATCGCCAATGCCAAGCGACCTGTGGACGAATTTGAGCAGTTGGGTTTTGGAGCCCCAGGGCTGGGTGGGAGATGAGATCATATGGAACATGTGGGAAAATGGGGTTTTGAAGCATCATAGAAGCTAGGGTAGCCTATGTTCAGACAGACCCAAGTGAGGTGTGGAAGCCATGCGCAGCCCAATAAGGTGGGTAGTGAGCATATAACAAGTCAGCTATAGATGGGATGAACCCTAGTGATATGAGTTACAAGCCACTTTCCAAGATGCAGCTGGCCGGTAGCATCAAGGCAATGGCCCTGCGGCCTTCTGTCAAGACTATGCCACGTGAGCCCAGAAATCGTCATGGAAATCGGTCGCGCGAAAAACTGGAGGGGTCTTAGGACGGTCTTAGGCTGCAGGATCCTGCGGGTGATTTGAAACTACCTTGATGTTTTCAGGTACGCAGCTGTACGGCATCGGCTCACCTTACCTCGACCAGTGTCTTGGCCCAATGTTTTGAAGATAATGTAAGATACTGTAGATACTGTATTTGAAGGGATGTTTGGTTGGATTTTTCAATATGTTTCAATAGAAAAAACAATATCTATATTCCTTAGGCCGATTATTCCTACAAATGGACACTTGTTTTTTTTTGATGACTTCCGTTGTATGGCCCATTCAGTGAGCTGAGGCCGGCCAATTGGACCTGGAGGAGATGGAGCACGACATGTCCGCCCCACTGGTTGTGTTGGGTTCTGGGCCATGAGAAAAAAGTTGCAGGGAAAGTGATGATGATGATGATGATGATGATGCTGATGCTGGTGGTGGTGGTGGTGGCGGCGGCGGCATTGGAATCATGAGGCCTTGGTGCATTCGAGAGGATGTTGCTGTTGTTCCTTAATCCATTGCCGCTGTGGGCGGGTTTCTTCAGATATTTTGAATTTCGAACGGTTGATTTTGGATGCGAATGGCGAGGGATGGGCCTGGGCAATACTCACTGAGCTTTTCACCTTTTGACGTTGCTGTGAACCCAACAGTTGATGCAAGCCCTGCATGTGCGCTTGACCGAGGAAGGTGGGACCTAGGTTCTAATCATTTCTAGTCATTTGAGAATCCAATCATGTGGGTATCGTGTTAGATAATCACATCTCATCACAGTCCAACGAATCAGATGTTCGTCCGATCCTCATGGCCAGGTTGATGCAAACCATCGGCGCGGAACTGGCTCCTGCGACCCGGTACTTGAAATGTGGGGATGGGTCACCTATCGGACCGTTTTTTGGGGAGGACGAAGATTCATTTGTAAATGCTGTTTTGATGTGAAACCAGGTTGCTAGGGCTTTGATGCAGAGCATTATGAGATCTTTTGGGAGCCAAAGACTGGAAATCAGCAAATAGGTTATTTACTGTATCAATTGTTTATCAATCTGTTATCAATTGTGATTATCATTTTTTTAAATCATATTTTCATCGATTTCCTACCAAAATCGAAGATTTGAGCAACAAAAGTGGTGAAAATCAAGGAAAACAATGGATTTTCACCAATTTTGACTGGAACACAATAGAACATAGCAAGTTTCCAGTCAAATTTTTACCAAATCTGAAGGAACAATTGATGAAAACCAAGGAAAACAGCTGATTTTTACCAATTTGTGATAGAACACAACGGAAAACGGTAGGTTTTGCTAGGACATCGATAAACGCACAAGAACATTGATACTTTTGAAATGGATGATTGATAAATAATTTACAAAATAAAACGATAAAATTGAAAATAGAGGATTGATAGACAGTTGACAAAAATTGATGAATACCATATTTTTGAACCTGAAGGGTGTGGCCCTGAAGATTTTTTTTGAGCTTTCAATCTTGGTGCATATCTCCAGGGTCCTTCTATTTCCTCATCTTTGGGCGGTTGACCCGATTAACCAGCCTGTTTTTGTGTGTGAAGATCGCTTTTTTGGTCAAATTGCAAAAAAGCCCTCTTTTCAGATCTTGGTGTGTCAAAACTGTTGAAGAATGATTTGTGCATCAAAAGAGGTGATGTTGGAATATGACTATTCACACTTTTGATGCACTAATCACTATTCAACAGCAGTCAGTGGTTGACCCTGATAGTCCCAGGCGGAGATCTCACGGCAAGATTGGAACGCATGGGACCTGAATATTGCGGACCTGAACTCGGCGTTGGTGCCTGAGGATGACCAGAATGCTGAAGAAACTGAGTGAAACATGGTGAAATGATTAGAAACTAACTGAAGTTGGTGAATTCACTTAGAAATCTTAGAACTGGTCTTCTATGTGACTATGTGGATGATTAACAGATTTACCGATTGGAAGAGATTGTAACATGAGCGCGGTAGAGTCCAGATCCCTCCAGATTCTGACAGCCTCTTGATGCCAGCAACACGTACAAAAAAACAGCACCAGGTGCCTAAGGTGTCCCAACAAAACACAACTCGGTTGAAGCAGTTTGAAACCAATGAACCAATGATGGCAAACTTGCCCCCTAAAAGTGGAAGTACCAAACCACAGAGTCAGAAAACACTTCGCTAAACGAATGTATTATGCAGAATAACGTCCTCGTAGATTTTGGAGAACGCACACCCCTTCGTTCAGCTTTGGTTTGCAACTAACGGGACAAATACGAACCCAACTTCCGGCATGACCTTCTTGCAATCACCAGAAACCCGCTTTGGACCGCATGTCACACGCCCCCGTAAATTTATGCGGATTATTTTCCCTCCTTCACCTAGTTTCGTTCCCCTGCGCTTGCTCTCAAGTTGATTTTTTTCAAAAAAATCTGGATGTTCTGTCCCCGAAACTACTGCAGTATCTGTTTGCATCCGTTTACCAAGTGCAGGCATCATCGCACTAACCCGGGCGGGTTCCTGAGGCAACGACAATCTCTGGCAAGGTGCTTGATCGTGATCTACGACACTTCGCCTGGGTTGGTGGCTTAGTGTGCCATGACACAGTCGCACATTTGGGGGTTTCCTAAAAAGGGGAATCCCCAAAACCTTGGGTTTCAATACTAAGATAGTCTAATTAGTCATAGTCTAATTTTGACTTTTGCAAGTCGAACCGAGACCTTTAAGTTTCTGGTTTCTGCCTAGGCAGATTTGATCTGAGCTGCAATTCCCCTAAACAGATTCCGACACCGTCTGTCATCATTGATAGGATCCGATAGTCACTCACAATCGGTCTGGTATGGTTCAAGATTGAAGGCCCAAGTTTGACCCAAATGACGTGGGTAAGCCTTGGTTCTTCCTGGTGTAGCAAACACCAGACATTGGTTGGCTAAGACATTGCTAAGACTATCCATGTGACTTATTAGTTAAAATATGTTAAAACATGGCACATGGTACATCATGGTACCACAAAATCCTGTGGTTTGAAGCATCATTTTCCCCAGTCAAATTGAGCTCATCCATGTTTTATCTACATTTCTGGGAACGTCCCCGAATTCATGGCCACCAAGATTCGACGAGTACCACGCGGTGCGCGTCACGAAGTACAAGTGCCACTGTGAGTTCATTAAGGTGCTGCTGACCCAATGATTTCTCAATGGCTAACCACCAACGGTGCCAGTAGGATGGGATGAAGGGAACATTTCAGGCACTCCCGACTTTGGATGGTCAAAATCGATTCGGAAAACGGAATGTCTTGGACGTGTCCGTGTTGCGTTGCGCACCGCAGGTCGTGGAGAGCCAATACGAGGATGACCAGGCGAAAGGATGATCAAGTCACAGAAGGATAGGATATACCCTCTGGTGAACTAACATAGCTATGGAAAATCACCATTTATAGTGGATTTACCCATTAAAAATGGTGATTTTCCATAGCTATGTTAAATTACCAGAGGGTACTCAAATATTACGTTGATGTACTGGACACTACTGGACACTACTGGACACTCAACACACAATGACTCAAATATTTTGAACCTTTGTGAGTTGGGGAGTCTATACGATTCTCGGCGGATGGAATAGTAGAATGACACTAATGATAAATACATAATGATCATTAACAGTGATGATCAATAATAACAATATATTTCAATAATAATCAACAATAGTGATAATAATAGTAATAAGAAAAATAACAACAGGAAGGAATATGAGCAAAAACATCATATCGATTATACAAGTGAATTGAGATAGATCTAAGTTGAATGTCCTGCCAGGTGGTCCAGTACCACAACTGGATCCACGCTGTGGATGTGGCCTTCACTCTGCGGAGTATCTTCCATCGAATTTCCGTGGGGCGCCTTAGGTCTTAAATCGGCCTGTTTCCAACAAATCAGCAGAAAAGAAGGGTCATTTGGGTATGAATCAATACCTATTAATACCATTTTTAGTGGGATGAACATCCATTTACCAGCTATTTTGATGTTCACCAGGGGTACAGGGTTTTGACCCATCCCCATTTCACAATATTTGTTCTCCGATTTTTGGATCCATATCCAAATTGACCCTTTACTGCAGTGTTGAGAGGGGCCTGCCGATTACATCCTTCCCAGATGATTGAACAATTGGAGCCAATCCAAATCTTTGGTGAAACCGTAAGGATTCGTGCCGTTTTTTCGACCCAAACCATTACTCCATGGCAAATCTTTGGTTTGGTATCAACTGTGACGATGTGAGGCGGAACGCTACTTTGCTACGCATGAGCGATTCGCAAGTTCCTCAGATGTTTGCGTAGTGCTCAAGGATTGATTCGCTCCTCCATGGTCTCAGGTACTGGGTCGGCGGCAAATATGACCAATACCACGCCAAAAATGATAACGATATGTGCCATGGTCAAAAATCAGAGTACCATATTAATTAATCCATATTAATCCATATTAATCCATATTAATCCATATTAAATATTATGGGATATTATGGGATGGTCATCAATCCATTAGGGATTCATATACGCACAAGGATTCCCATGGGATGACCATGCCAGGCGCTGATGGTGGCCTCCTTTGCGCATGATCTTGGGAATTCTGGTGCTTCCAGCCATGCTTTCGTGGAGTGGAAAAAACCCGCCCTGTGGGAGATCTATGGAGATCTACTAGTTACATCTAGTTACAAGTTGCTTAGAACATCTTATAACGATTTATAAAGCCCAAACAAACTATAGCGAAAACCCAACTTTTTTCTTCCATGTTATGTTATGTGGTGCTACAGTCATGCAGAGCCCATGGCCATGGCCAGGAGTCACCAATGGCTTTCTGGCCCAGTCCGCCCACGAGTTTGCGCTGGGATACAACGATCTGAGCTGTCTGCAGAACATGTCCTGTGCCAAGCTGGGCTGCTCAGGTGATGACAACGATGCAGGGATGTGGGCTTGGGGAGTCAACAATGGGGATTGAGAAGAACAAATGAGAGATTGGGACTTGGGACCCATGGATAGTTTACTACTGGAAAGGACCAAACGTAGGTCTACCTGACCCTCAAAGTTTGACACGCCCATGTGCTAATTCGTGTCACACCACATTCATCAGCACCAACTAGAGACTTTGCGGATGGACCTGCAGATTTTAAGGTCATTTTTGATACCAAGCATCTAATTTCTGGGGTGCACCTTTTCCTCATTGGCCTAAATTCCCATAGTTTCCAGGCTCCATCCCAGTTCGAATTATGGGCCGAACCTGTTAGGAGCAGGGCCCATCCTTGGAGGATCTGTATAGAAATGGTTTCTGAGTTAGCTACGATCCAATGATTCTCCAAGTGGCCCCAAAACTATGCTGAGGCTCTTCCGCATCACGGGAGAGCCTGAGACTTCGATCTTCTTGAACTTCAACAAAGCCATGCAGCGAGATGTGCGGCAGGCAGTTTGGGGGTTGGGGGTTGGGGTTTGGGGGTTTGGGGAAGGAAGACAAATGGTTGTAGCTCAAAATTGCAGATCTGCCAAAACGGGATGGTGTTTAATTCAAAGAAATGACCGAGTTAATCGAATTTTGTAGATGTTTTGGCCACTGCTTTTTTCAGCCATACCCAAAATGTGCCGTATGCCAAGGTTTTAAAATAATTTTGATTGCACTGCCAATGCAGGAATCGAAACTTTGACAAGCTTCTGGCGGGAAAGATTCCAAGAGGGAATCTTCATGATTTCAACACTGGGAAATTTACTAGAATGGGGATAACAAAGGTAAGGGGAAGTATATGAACAAGGATGAGGACAAATCCCCCCGCCGGAAGTGGTAGTGTCACCAGTAGGCCTCCAGCCATTGGCGAAAATGCAAGTCCAAGAGCAGACAAATTGTATAAGGTTTCGCCCAGATGCATTTGTCATTGGCACTTCAGCCTACAGACATATCAATCCTGGTTGGTTTCACAACCGCACTGATTGGTGGGTACCCTAAAACAAGCAAGCATATCACTCGAACATTGCAGACTTATAGATGATTTTCCTACATTTTTCTTAACAAAAGCATGGTGATTTTCCGCTTTAAATACAGCCGCAGGTGATCATCTATGCCATTTTGCACACTGATCCAGGGCGTGGGGACCTGGCTCCTCTGGCTTGGGGAGCGAGTTCTAAAGGTTTCACCGAAAATGGATGGAGGATATGGAGGCCCTAGCCTTTGTTCTCGTTGCGGAGGCTTCAGTTGGAGCTATTGGCCGAAATGCTGGGGAAGCCCAGATGGGGGGATCTTTGGCACCAACGGCTTTGGGATACTCAATCGAGTGTTCTTTTTTGCGCCAAAAGCAGAAACGGTTGAGGACCCAAATGCCTCCAGGCAGGCCCCCTACAGTACCAAAGAAGTCATGAAGTGTCCATTCGTGGCAGCTGTTGGAAATTGTAGGGCGACCAAGTCCTTCCATCCCTTTTTTATCCCCAAAAATGATACACATCTTGACTAGTCCCCAGAGGTGTAGCCTTACACTGAGCTGACTGAGCTGGGTCGGGTTGAACACTCGACTTGACCCCCAGTATTGGTGACAGTTTCCCCAGCAGATTCCGGCGTTTGGTGTTTTGTGACACCTTCAGGTGGGGTCACTACCAGAATCGCAAGGAACTCTTTGATTTGGTGCAAGCACTCAGCAGGACAAGCCCAAGGGGGGAATTCGAAGATTTTGCCACACACCCAGGTAACCCAGGTATCCCAGCGTCCTGTTTCCAAGGTTCAATCAATTTCTGAATTTGAGAAACCTCGCAATGAATCTGGACCCATTCAGCAAATCTCATCTTGCAAAAATAAACCTTGGATAAATTTGGCCTCAAATAGAGGAAGCATCCTGCGCCGACTTCGCAGGACAGTCGAGGAGGAGAATGAGGTCCTGGTGAAGGCGAACAAGGAGGTTGAGGACGGGAACCAGTGGGCTCTCCCAGTACTGGGTCATTTCAACCGAGTGTTTCTATTTTACTTTTACAAATCTATAAGATTTTACAAGCCAAGTGTGCCTAATGTACTCGTAATATTGTATAATGTAATGTAATGTGATGTATTTTAAATGCAATGCAATGCGATGCATTAGCATATACAGTCATATACAAACATAATTTATCATTAGTAGCTATGACCCCCATCAAGTGCAGTTGTAAGTGATAGTTGTGCTCCATCACTGCAGTCTGGAAGGAAGCTTCACAGTTACATGTCTTGTTGGGGGTACCATCTCTCTCTGGTTCGCCTCGTAATGATGAGCTAAGTCCGTTGCAGGACTACTTTTGGAACGCAGACGTGAAGTACTCCTTGCGGGTTCTGCTGGCATGGGTTGAAGATGTTGATGTTTTTGGTCAGCATCCAGCTGGCCAAGTTGATAGAGGATGCCTCGGCTTAGAACATGGAAGACCCCAGACCCCGCTGGCCAGAACTTGCTGGTTCATGTGGCGGACAATTCGTACTCCTTGAAGCCGTGGGATATTTGTTCCCATTGGGTGGGGAGCCACAGCTTTCGCTGGTCATAGCAGCACCCCAGCCAAAAGCCAGCAGATAAATGCACACATACTATTTATATCTATATTATCATATCTATCTGTATATATATAATATGTATATACATATACACATACAAAATCATACGCATACATATACACATACATACATTACATTACATTACATTGCATTGCATAGCATTGCATTGCATTACATTACATAGTGCGCACAAAACTGCTGGGGTTCACACCCTTGAGGCCTGAGCCCTTGAAGCAAAGTTTGCGTTTTGCAGCCAGAGATGCCTCCCATTTACTCTGGCGATTCTCCAGCCATTGCGTTGCCAAACCGAGGCCAATGCTCTTTCTGAGGAGTTCTTCAAACAGGCCTCGGATGGTGGGCACTAGGCATGGATTCCATGCACTTGACACTTGACACTTGCAAAAGTTGGCATTCCATGGATTTGACACTCGCGGGTCATCACGAAATATGAGAGTTGGACTTGATTTTGCATGGCCTTGATCTCAGTGCAACTACCTTTCAGCATTACCTCGGTGACTTCCGCGCCAGGGAGATTTGGAAAGGAACTACAAAATGCCCATGCAACCGCTGAACGACCGCGTGAGGGCGAACGTGGCGCATGCCCAGGCGGCAAATGTTCTGATCAGTGCCTCATGGTGGTTGCTCCGAGCCATCCAAAGAAAAACAGCTGGGCATGCCCGACCGGGCACAAGAATCCTTGTCACATTCGGTTCATTATTTTGAGTTACTGGAACTCTGAAATTTATTGAAGTGTCAAATCCTTGGTCGGTTACTTGCCTTATTGGCCTTATTGGAGCCCCTGAAAGATGTAAATGTAGTGGCTGTCCCATTTCCAGCACTGGATCCGGTTCACCACCAGCAAATCAAGCCAATGAACCATGGGTTGATGCCCTTCCGTCTGATAATCCAACCAATGGAAGACCAGTCGATTAATAGATCGTTTTCTTATCCCAAAAGATGGGGATGTCCGATTACCAGATTTGTAAACTACCATAGGGTACAATCAACCCAGTTTTGTAGAAACAACGCATTAAAGTAGCCATTGGTTAATCCATGGTGATCCCCTTAGAGATTGCCTCAGATCGTGAACATCCAGCACATCATTGTGCCACAGACCAAGCTGCTGGTTCAGCTTTTGCCGGAGCTAAGAAGCTGTCGGGACTCCTACCAGGTCCTACCAGTCATGGGTGAAATTGGACACCGCAACCAACAGATGGTCCGAGCAGTCTCGCTGTATACATATATATATATATATTAAAAATATATCATATCTATGTCCACATCTACTGGTACATCTACTTCTACATCTACATCTATCTCTATGGCTATCTATCTATCGATCGATCGACCAACCAACCAACCAACCAACCAAGCAATCAATCAATCAATCACAATATATATATATGGATATCATCATGCAAAGGCTTTTCTGTGCAAAACTGATCTGTATAAAGGCTTCTGTGTGTGAAAGATGTTCTATGTAAAGGCGTCTCTGTAAAGCTGCTCTGTGTGCAAAGGCTTCTGCTCTAGTGTAAGGGTTTCTCTGTGAAAGTTGTTCTTTTTGTTTTTGGTGTTGTTCTTGTTGTTCTTCTCCTTGTTCTTATTGTTGTTCTTCTTCTTGTTCTTCTTGTTGTTCTTGTTCTTATTCTTCTTGTTCGTATTCTTCTTCTTTATTCTTTCTCTTGTTTCTTGTTCTTGCTGTTTTTACAAGGTCCATGTCGCATAGGCCAGGATTGTCTATCTACCACACGGGTGACCCCCCACACCATCTGGGGGGAGCATGAACACGAGACACTGGATCATACATATATATATATGTATATAAATGTAAATATGTATTACATGTCTACATGTCTATATGCATGTATGTTTGTATCTATATCTATATAACTATATACATTTACATATCTATATCTCTATATCTCTACGCATCTATATATTTCTTTCTCTATATCTCTATGTATCTATATCTCTTTTTCTCTATATCTCTATGTATCTATATTTCTAGTATCTGTATCTGTTTTACTCTGTATCTCTCTTTATCTTTAGTGATGTAGTATCTCTATCTATCTTTTTCTATCAATAACTCAATGACTCACTGACTCACTCATTCAATCTATCTATCTTTCTATCTGTTAATCACTCAATCAGCCAGTCAATCAATCAATCAATCAATCAATCAATCAATCAATCAATCAATCAATCTATTCCTCTCTTGTACATAGTAATATACACAATACATGCACATCTTATCACATCGTCAGTGAGACAGTGAAGTTCGGGCTACTCAATGGCACTCGTAGCAGCCCTGCGCCCCTGTTTTTGCTAAGGCAAACACCATATGTGGCTGAACCTCTGGAGGTGCTGCCAAAGCTTCCAACGAAGAATTCCTTAGGGATATTTTTAACAAAAAATAATATGTGTCTGCAAAAGTTAATAGATCATTGAATCATATATGATATTATATACTCATATGATATATTCACATAGTTGATATCAAGATATAATATACAGAATTATACATTTTGAGATGAAGAAAGCTCCGGAGATGGACACTCTTGGCCGCCTTTGGCCTGGAAGGTGGATCGTGAAGTGGAAGAGATCGCGACCAGACCATGAAGAGCTGCATCGAGCCGGGAAAACTCAGATTTTTTGGTGAAATCCCAGGGGATTTAACCACCAAAAATGGGGTGAGACCACTAAACATGGGTGAATTCAGCATGAACATGGGAATCTGATGGGATATTGGGATATTTGAGCAGTAACCAACTTGGGATGACATCTGTGGTTATGAAACAAAATCTAGTTTGATTCAACCAAAAAGAACATATGGCTGGTTTAATAAAGGCAGTGAAACTTCCGATGCTTCAACAATGGACAGCACAGGTCCTTCGAGAGGTGAAGGAGTTGCATGATGAAGATGTTCCAGAGGCAGCGGGGTGGAGCATATGCCATCCAAAGGGGGTAGGCAAACTGAATTGTACGCAGGTGAGAGACCTATTCTTATTGGTAATGCCGCACATTTTCTTCCTTTTTTTGGTGACATATCCAATTTCTTTTTGTTGGTTGGCTGTATTGTCTACTTATTCCTGTTGGTTATATATATATATATGTCTACTCATTTTCGTGACGCATCCACCCGTTTTGCTTGGTAAGATGCTTTTGGTAGTGAAGCTTCAACCAATACAAACTTGTGGTTTGGATCGGTGGTTGCTTTGTGGAAGATGGGATCTGTGGACATATCACAGATATATCACCAGGAAATGGATGATATGTCCCTAGCTCACTTAGCAATGAACCATTGGTTGACCTTTGGGTTTGCTTGACAATAAAGACGCAACCCCAATGCTTTGTCGACATTTTCGCCACAAAACATACCATGAATTGGGTATCTCCCATTTTCGAGGCTCCACCGCTGGGCAGGAGGAGATCCGCGCGTTGGAACACCAAGAGGTGGACGAGGAGGGTGAGGAGCGGCGCGACAACAAGCAGAAGATCAAGCGGCGCATGTCCGTGCGCTCTGTGCGCTCGGTGGTGAACCTGAACCCGGACTGAGTTGAGGAAAATGGTTGGTCAATCCATATTAATGGGATATCAACAATCATGGCCAACTATGGGATTATCAACATATGAATTTATATTAATGGGATATCCATATTAATGGGGATATAATGGGGATATGATATAATTATGAGGATATAATGAGGATATAATGAGGATATAATGGGGTAATATGAACCAACAAGTCAGCGGGGATATCAATGATTAGAATGGGGATAGAAACCGACAATGATGGATACTCTGGTATTCCAACATAGCTATTGAACATGGCCCATGTAAATAGATTTTTCCATTGTTGTTTCCAGAGGGTATAATTAGAGGTTTTTTAAAATTGGGATCCCCAAGTCACCATGGGTTAAGCTATGCTAAGTCAGGCCTAATGACTTGGATGATTGGATGAATTGAACACCTCCATATATATTTGTAATGTACATGTATTTAGACATAACAGAACACATATTACACACATGTGTATATGCATATGTACATATATATATATATATGCACACACACACACCCATCGTTTTTGCTGGTCATGTCTGGATTTATTGTTACACTAGGTGTAACCACGGATGAGAACATATCAGAATATGGGTCTGAAACGGGGATACCCGAGTTTACTAATATCGTTTATATAATGGTTTGTTGAATGACGAGCATGATGTCATATCATGGGATTAAAAGGGGTTTCCCCTTTGACAAAGTCTGACTGGCTGATAACTCACCCCATTTCACTGAGACAGTCCCGTAGGCAAGCCCTTATTGATTATTTCGTTGTTTTTCAAATCCCATCTACCTATCTACCTGTCTATCTATCTACCTATCTACCTATCTACCTACCTATCTACCTATCTACCTACCTACCCACTTATCTATCCATCTATCCATCTATCCGTCTATCCATCTATCCATCTATCCATCTATCCATCTATCCATCTATCCATCTATCGATCGATCTATCGATCCATCGATCCATCGATCCATCGATCTATCGATCTATCGATCTACCCTATTCTATCCTATCCTATTCTATGCTATTCTACTTATCTATCCCACCTATCCTATCTATCCTATCTGTCCTACATGTCCTATCTGTCCTATTTGTCCTATCTATCGTATCTATCCTATCTATCCTATCTATCCTATCCTATCTATCCTATCTTATCCTATCCTATCCTATCTCTATATCTATTTCATTTCGATTTCTATATCAAAATCTATATTAAGATACAAGTGGGAACGGGGCCCATCACTGCGAGATCATACCTCAACTGATCCAGTTGCAGCAAAAGGTTGGGCCGTTTTTCAGTACTTCTGGAGGTTGCTGTGCCAAGAAGGTGTTTTTTTGGTTGATGTTTTTTTGAGCTGCAGCATCATTTGACCAGTCCAACGGTCCAACGGTCCAACCTTTTTGCACCCAATGTTAATGACCAACTGGAAGTTGAAAACGTGACTTCCAGTGCGGGCGATCTCAAAACATGGTGGTCGACCTCGCGGCCCTCGCGACCTGAAAATGGCGATGATGCTGGGCGCTGGGATTGTCGGGATGGGCAACGAAGTTGATGGTCACAAGGCCCCAATGATGCTTGCTGCATCGTGCTGTTTCTTGCAGTCTAAACTCCCGTTCAGACAAAGATTTATCACATGAAACTCCGATTTTAGACTATTCAAGGAGTACTTGCGCCTCAGGGATTTTCGAAAGGTTTTCTCGTAGCCATTGCTCAACGGTGACACACCGGAGAATTTCCTGGGCTCCTCATCCCTTAAAAGGCTTAAATGGCAGACCATGTACAACTCTCAAGGGTTTGGACAGTCACAAAGACCCACTTGAGGCTGGTTGCATCCTGGGAATTAAGCTATTATAAACACAATATTGGGGGTAATGCTATGTAGATATTGCCAATTGTGCAGGATACTATGTGTATCCATGTGAATGTATATATATAATTATATATATATAATTACGTGTACACACACACATACTTTGCACATATCATTCTGGGATGAAACCACCAATGGCAGGGATCTCATGATGGTCGATGAAAAAAACATCCTCATCCACCAGTGGAAGCGATTGCCAGTGGCAGGTGCAACGGTCAATGCTCAGCCGAAGCCTTTTCAGACCAAAGATATTACCAGCCACTTCAGCCACTTCGGTTTTTGGTGCTAAGAATCCCATGGAGTCAGCACTGAGAGATACCGATGCCACTTGTGCTCCCTGCTGTTTGTGATAATTGAATAGAAACATCGCAACCTTTGGGAACCAGCATTTCCACACTTGGCAGCCCAAGAGTCAACGGCTAGTGATGAGCTGAGCCAGCCGTACAACACAGCGTATTCCCGGCCACGGCCACAGCGATAGCCATGTCTCCCCTCGAAACTGCGGTCTGGAGCTCAATCTCTGCAGGTTTCAAAGTTCTGATGGGGATGCTGCCTTGCAAATGCGAATGGGGACATGTTCAAAAATTGGGTGCATACCCGAACTTGGACGGTGAAATTTAAAACATGATCAGAATTTGTGGTACCCCAGGGTTGGAGAAATTTAAACCCATTTTGTTTCGCATCCACTCATTTCTTGAAAATGGTCTCCGACTTTTTCTCAAGCCTTCTTCATGAGTGCATCCTAAACGAATGGTTTTCTGATAGTAAACTTTCCACAACCAGTTTACTATCATTTTTTTAACTATCAAAATTGCTATTTTGCTTTGAAGTGGCCCAGTTCGTTTGCCAGTTCACTGGTCCTGCGCCCATTGCCAGACCGCCAAAACCTCCTGGAGTGCGATGATCTCCAAGGAGGCCAGAACGTTTTTTTTTTTTTTCCAAAGTTGATATTTCATGACCAGACATGTTTTCATTTAGACATGTGTCTGCTTTTTTTGTTTGTATATGATTTGCCTATTTGTGTATTCAAGTTGATTTATTTCATATTTATTCATCAATTCATCATTAATTTCTCTATCTTTCCATTTATTTTTCAGGGCATCTGAGATTATGTATACCCCCAGTATCCAATAATCAGCTCGAGGAGGGATGGCTGCCAGAGGATCTCAAAGTTGAGGATGTCTGGAGCTGAGTTTTCTCATCGAACCATCTATTAATGATGGTGAGTAATGGTTGATCATGGGATCTATCCATTATTATTAATGATTGTTATGACTATGATTCTGATTCTCCATTATTATTGATAGTGATTAGGAATCACTATCAATATTATCATTTATTATTCATGATTATTGCTATAGGCTATACATATTATTCATTGTCTATCAGCCTATCAGTATCCATTTTGTGTGAAGATAATCAGGACAAAAACGGGTTTGTTTGAAAATGGGGTACCCCAAAAGCCACACATTTTTATTATCAGGGGTAAACCCAGATTGGGGAGATCCAGGACAAGATGGCAAAAAGTAGAATGCACGTTTGTTCTACCCTTAAAAATTGGGCTTCTGCAAAACATCAATTTAAAGTCTTCAAGCCATCAAAGTAAGAATGCTCGCCCGCCCATATCAGGATTTCAAATAAAAAGGAACCAGCTGTACGACAGAGGGTACCTTCCAACATCTCGCACTCCAAACTTGAAGCTATTCCTTGGCAAACTTTCTCCCTTTACTGGAAACGCTTTCTTTGGCCCACACTTTGCCGTAGAGCTTAAGACATATGTATATATATATGTATGAACACTGTAAATAAATAAATAAATAACTAACTAAATAAATATATATATATATATGTATGTATATATACATATATACATATTCTCTTTGGCACAAGTCTCTACAAAAAGAGGGAGTAGGGCACTTAACCAAGATGTTTCGCTTTACACGGGGTAAATCAACAATTTTTCCAACGACTTGATCCCTTCAGGAACCCTTGCGGTGGAAGTTGCTGATTGTGGTCATTGACTGCAGCTATGGACCTAGACTACACAATCCGCCCAGGCTGGGTACATCGGATCCGAACTGGAAGAAATCAAGCCTCTGGTAATCGAACATTGCTATGGAAAGCCAGCAAAATGGTATCCATTTTTAAGAGGTCATCTATAAATGGGCCCTGTTCATCCATTTTCCAGAGCTATGTTTACTGGGTTTCTCCATGGCCATTCTCAAGGGGATCCCAGATCTTGACCCCAGGTCTATTCGAGCCTTGAAAGCAAAGCTGGCAGCGGCATTGGGCATCGAGGAGGGTCTGGGTGATGATTGGATCATATTGGATCAAGAAGCAGGGTGGAACGGGGTGGAAGGGCAAAAACTGTTCTGCCTGTTCTGCAACACAGGTTGATGAAACACTTGTGGACTGCAGGTTACAAAGAGAACCGAATTGTAATCGCTGGAATGCAGGGCTTACTGACTTCTGAGACATAGACATTGAGAAATATCTAAACGTTCCGTTTGTGAACTATTAAACAATATTGACATTCTCTATGGAATATCTCTCAAGATAATGGACTTTGTTCACCACATGTTACCCCGTTTCACTCTTCAAATCATCCCTATGGCCATCTACATTTTCAGCATGAATAGCCGTATTGCCGTATTGGGGACGATCATTAGGTGGGACTTATCTGGCCAAGATTCGAATTTCCCATAGGATTTCAATAGTCACATGACCAGAATAAAAAACCCATGTAGCTTGACAATGGTCCATATCAGATATAAACATGAATATATAAACCAATAATAAACCATAATAAACCAATAGATAAACCAACATAAACCAATAAATAAACGTAATAAACCAATAGATAAACCAATAGTAATCCAATAGTCTAAGATGATTGGAAGATACTTCACCACTGCGCCATTGCGAGCTGTGCAAGGCGCTCTCGAAACAGACCGGTACCAGTGGAGCACAGGCCGGTTCCGATTTCGATCCCAAAGAGTTGGGATTTAACCAGCTGTGCTGTGGGATGTGTCTCAAGATCTCCAAATTTTGACAAGCAACGGGTCCTTTTTAGGTGAACATATCCACTTCTGGAGGTCAATTTCGCAGCCATA